CCCTTTACAGGTGTCCCATCCACCTGTCAAAGGACAAAACATGCAGTCTTTCTAGTCCCCATTCTGGGGGCCCTAAGCCTTTGGGGGTGGGGAATCTACCCCTATCGCTTCAGGGAGGTGACAGTAATACCTTAGAAAAGGCAGGTGGTGGAGGTGTTTTCCAGCCCCTGTGGCTTTAGTCCCTTTGTCTTTGAAGAGCCTGGGAGCTGGGGAGCTGTGTGACCTTATTCATGCTTCAGAGTACACAAGGAAGCTCCCAGCTACTCAGACAGAAGCAGAGCCCTCTTCCCTCAGCTCCCAGGGCCCTGTCTGTGACCCTGTAAGGGTGTCTTGCACTTGTCTGTGTATCCTTCTCCTCAAAACTGTTAACACCACTCGCCACCGCAGGGCACCAGGTACACCAGTCAGAACGAAGCAAATGCTTAAAGAGAAGGAACACTCTCTTTGGTTTGTAGAGTAATACCTTGCTCTCCCCTCAGAAGCAATATTGCCAGATAGTAATCCCACCCTTCACTCTACTGGCGCACTCTGGCCTCCCTGCTGGGAGAAGTGTCTTCTGGAAAAGGTGGGTTAAGGGAAGGGAGGAGACAATAGAACGTGTACCCTTTCCTCCAGAACCCTGTCATCCTCAGGATGTTCTCCTCTCTGCTTTTCCTGGAGCTGAGCGACCCCTGACCAGGGGACTCAAGAGTTTGGGGGTGTGTGGGGGCATATTAGAGGTCGGAGGTGGTCACAGGTCAAGCCACAGTCTCTAATCTGGTTTAACAGTAATTAAGTTGACAGTGGGTCCTCTCAAAGGACCCCTGGTGGCTTAGTGAGTTATCAGGTCAGTGGTTCAGACCTACCAGCTGCTCCTCCTCCCTGTCTAGGTGGGGGCAGTCTGCTCTGGTACAGATGTAGAGTTTCAGAAACCTGAAAGGGCGGCTCTCCCCTGTCCCCTCTCTCTGAGTAGGCACCAACTCCCTAGCAGGGGGTTTGGTATCTTCTTGATTGCTCTACTAGTCAGAGAGGGGAGATGGTCAGAAGGGATGCATCAGGGGGCTTCCAAAAGTCCATGGAAATGTGGAATTAAATGGGATTTTCCCATGAATCTCTTGGAAGCTCCCTCCTAATTAAAGATCATTCCCAAGCCTCACCAGAATGTACAGAACTTCCTTCTTACATTCAGCACCTCCCTTAACCTGGAGGCCCCAGAAATCCAAAGGGCCTCTTCCAAATCGCCTACTTCTCTGTATGGCTGTAGATTCAGAAAGACATTTTTCCACATTGGAAATCAGGACCCGTTCCCCAGATCTTCTCGTTGTATCCACACAGGCTCTTATCTGATACGCTCCATTACTTGCTGCCGAAGGTGCTCCTGTTCTTCCCATTGAGAGGGGCAAGGTCTCTCTCTGGATCCTGCAGTCCGACTCTCTTGAGGACAGGCAATCTGAATGTGAACCCGGCCTTCTCTGTCCCTAGTCCGCTATAATTGATTTATATGAGCAACACTCGCAGGGTTTCATTATTAACGTGTTCGAATGACTGCCTTTATTGAAGCACAAACATTTATGAGAAAAGTAATGCAAAAAACGCACAGGAAAATGAGAACGTTCCGTGAGGAACCTATTTAAAATAGGTATCACATCTTTTTTCCAGGATGAACGGTCCCAGTAAGACCCACAAACTCCTGAGCTTCTATTTAGCTCAGTCGGGCCACCCTCCCTCCACCTCTAATTCGCTTCCCGTTGTTCTAAATGAGCTAGACAATGGAGAAAGTGGATTTTCCACCTGCATTAAGCTGGCATTCTCGTCTGCGACCCCCACGTTTCCCCTGGGGATGGCTCTAGGCGCGAGGGACTAGGACCTGTCCTTTACCTCTGCGCGGCCTCCCTGTCACTAGCCACCGCCCAAGGCGCTCCGGACGCCGCGCGCCCTTCCCTTTAAGACACCCACGCCTCCCAGGCTCCGCCTCAGCTCCCCAAGCCCCGCCCCGGAGG